AGAGGGTGGGACGGGGAGGCAGAGGCTGGGCAGTGCTGTGCAGTGGGCGCAGGCTAGAGGGATCTGTCATAGTGCACCGGGAGCCCCTCCTGGCAGGCGATGCGGATGCGATGGGTGCCCACGTCGGCGTTGTACCTGCAGGGCGGTTTCTGCGACCCACCCTGCAGCCGGCAGGTGGTGACGGCGAAGGCGGCGTTGCTGTCCCGCAGATCCCCGCTCGCCGGGGCCCCCCCGGAGCCGCAGATGGTGCTGATGGTGGCAGCAGGGGCATGGACGAAGGAGTTGGTGAACTTGCAGGTGGACGAGGCCAGGCCCCGGCGCTGCATCATCTGGCTGCAGTAGGTCCGGGCGTCCGGGGCGCTGCTCTCTGGGTAATCCACGTGCTGCCGCAAGAACTTCTCGTAGCGAGTCTCCCCGCTGGCCAGAGCCAGACACGTGGCCAGCCAGGCCAGCAGCAGCAGGGGGTGTCCCTGGTGGGCCATGGGGTCTACAGAGCACCCTGTGGTGGAGAGGAAAGGAAGGGATGGACATAGGGGGTGGAAGGGACCTTCTGGTAGTTCCTCCAGCGTCCAGCCCCCAGGGAACTCCTTGGAGAGTCCAGTCGAAGGTCTATGCTAGCTGCCCGGGATTGCACAGTTCCCCAGCAGGTGAACAAAAGCCATCAGGAACGGGTGCACCAGAACCCCACGTGGTTAGGGGTTAATTTTGGGGCAATGCCTTAGCTGGCAGGGAGGAGGGGGAGAAATGCCAGTAAGTGAGACCAAAGACAGTGTACGTGGGGGGAAGCCCCCAAGTCTGGGCTCCTCCCAGGGCAGGAATTTACGGGGCGTTTAGAAAGCGGCCGAGCCTGCCCCAGGAATTCCGGCCAATGTCGTTTGCAGAAGGTGGGTAGAGAGGACTCGGCACCACATTGCATGATGGAGCTGGGCTCTGGCACCCACAGAGTTGCTGAATTCCCCCTTCTTCCGGACTCTGCCCCGAGTGACAGTGACTTTCCCCCGCTGTGGGTGCTGAGTCGTAAGGGTGCTCAGCCCGGCTTGGCACCCATGGGACTGAGCCCTCCCCCCCCAGCCTCTTCACTCTGTGCCCCTTCAAAGAAATGGTTTAAACTGAGCCAAGTATCCCGAGGCCCCCTCTGGACCCGAACCCCCAACCTCTCGCCCCTGTTTGCTCTGCTGCCTTCTGCAGCTCACGGGTCAGACGTCAGCTGGGGGAACGCCTACTTCAGCCGTCAGAGGACCCCCAGACTCAGCTGACGTGCTCTGTGCTACAGGCAGGAGTCCGGATTTAAACCTGCCCTGCTCTACCCACTAGGCCCCACTCCCCTCCTCGAGCTGGGGACAGCAACCAGGAGTCCTGGCTCCCAGTGGCACCAGCTGTAGCCATGTGAAGCCAGGAGAACAACAGCTGACCCTGATGCTAAGTATTGGAGACCCCCTCAGCCCCAACCCCTGCTGGGTCATCGGCTCACCTTGTTCTGGGGCTGGGTCTCCCGTCTGAGCGGTGGCTCCGGATCCCTGCTGAGACTCAAGGACTGAACCTTCCCTGGCTCTGGTCTGTGTTATATAGAGCCTGGCTGGGCCGCGGGCCAAGGAGATACGGGAGGCGACGCTCAGCAAACAAAGCGGGTGGGGAGCTATTGCTAGGAATGGAGACTCAAAGGATGCAACTTTCCAGGTGGGCTGGGGAGCGGAGTAACGACAGGTGTGTTGGCTGAGATGTGGGCTTCGAACAGCCCCTTCATCCCAACCCACAGCCCAGCCTGTGCCCCACACTCCCGGCAGCCCAGCCACGGCAGGGAGGGAGGCGGAGGTGCTGGGGGGAAGGGAAGAGGAAGAACTCTGGGGGGGAAAGATGCCCCCCAAACACACACAGTTCCAGGAAAGCAGCAGGGGTGTCCAAAAGAGAATGGCCTCTCGGGGGAGAAACGTGGGGATCGTCATGTGGAAGCCAGCTGCCCCCGACAGCAGCCGGTCAGCTGCAAATTGGCTTGGAGTTAGGAAGGCCACCGAGGGGGCTGCATTCCCACCAAGGTGCAGAAGTCCCCCCGGATATGGAGGACGGTGACCCTGGGCAGTGCGGGAGGAATCGGGCATGGCGTTGTGGCAATGGGATTCCCTGTGTGAGCTGCGGCACACACACACATTGCAATCTTGGCCAGGGGTCATCGTGCAGGAGAGTCCATCCGTTGCAAGGGCAACGTCTCTGCAGACCTGCAGGTGCCTGTGGATCACTCTGGGTGTTTCCCCGATAACCACCCAGGGAAGGGGCATGACCACTCCCGGGGGAGTTCTGCGCCACGGAGCACGTCCCAAACTTCCGTCCCCCGCAGATTTTTTTGTTTTCCCACAGAAATATCCCTTGTGATGGGGCACAAAAGGGAGGACACAGAAGCCACCGCCCCACAGAAATATCCCTTCTGATGGGGCACAAAAGGGAGGACACAGAAGCCACCGTGTGCTCCTCCCCAGCAGCTGAGGCCGGTCGGTTCGGTCGCCCAGAGCAGCTGGCAGAGCTGCAAATCTCTGGAAAGGAGGGGTGGTCGGACAGTTGTGCAGGCGCCAGAGAGATACGCTGTCCCGCCTGCTCTGTTCTCCAGCACGCCTGGCGTGGAAGGGCAATTCTCCACGGTGTTTCTGTAGAGGGGAGTGTGTAGCAGGCTCTGCCCCCCTGGGCAGAGCAGAAGGTAGCAACATGCCTGCTGGATGTGGGGCTCTGCCCTCCTGGGCAGAGCAGAAGGTAGCAATATGCCTGCTGGATGTATGGTTCTTATTGATCCTAAGAAATTCCCTCCAGCAGCAGAAATCAGGGGGAAACAATGTAAGGTCCTTTGCATTGCCAGATGGGTGTAAAGGACGGTACGGCTCTATAAAGGCTAAGGGGAGAAATTATTCCCTGTAACCCATGTCTTCAGTAATAGGGAGGTAGCCGTGTTAGTCTGAACTTGGTAAAACAAAAGGAAAAACTAGGCAGCAATTTAAAGACTAACAAGATGGTTCATTAGTGGGCCAGATCCACTTCTTCAGTGAAACTAGTTGAATTTACCTGCATTGTATTGTTTTCTTAATGGTCTGCTTTGTTCTGTTTGCTACCTTTTTGATCTCCTAAAACACACCCTTTCTTAGTTAATACAATTATTGCTGGTGGGGAATGGGGCACAGGGTGTGTGTGTGTGTGTGTGTGTGTGTGTGTGTGTGATAATACCAGGCAGTTACTGTATTTTCTAATGAGGACGGTGACAGCTTGTTGTGCCGACCTTCCTCCACATTGAGGGAGGAGGTGAGTGTTGCGTCGTTACAGCTTTGAAGTCCAAGGGGGCGGGGTGCACATCGACACGCTGCGGCAAGTCCCCTAAGTGGAGCCCTCTGGAAGGTGGAAGGGGCAGGGAACCGAGCCAACAAGGTGGGAGATGGGACTGGAGCTTCACCTTCTGCCCACGCCGCCTCTTTACTGATGGACGTGCTGCCCTGGGTGTGCGGGGTTCCCGCTGGGGCAGAGCTGCTGCAGCCACAAACAGGCTGCGTCGTGAGGACGTTCCCAACTCTGGATCCCAACACGCCTCTTCCCCGGCAAGCACCCAGGCTGGCCCTGACCAGGGTGTGTTCGGTCAAGTGCGGGGAGGGTCCCCGAGCGGGCAGTGTGTCTAGGCACGACCTGCAGGCCCACAGGGACATTAGAACCCATTCTGCCGGTTTCCCTCGGATGAGGCCGATGTCTCGGTCCCAAGGGGAAGCCGGGATGCATCTCAGGAATGCGAGTGGCTTTAGGCCGGGTCTCTCGCCTCCTCGCCCATGTCGCTTTGGCCCCAGCACAAGGCTGCTGATGGACACAGGGAAGGTTCCTCCAGTGAGGGAAGACACAAGGCATCTCTGCCTGGGAGCCTCCCACAGAGGAGTGGCCAGGACCTTCCGGGAAACCAGGACGTACATTCGCAGCTTTCCTGCGGGGCTCACACTGGGCAGATGCACAGGGGGTGGGAAGCAGATGCAAACTCAGCTAGCTTGGTGCATCTCTGCTTCTCAGCCCATGCCTAGTCCATAACGAGGCAAGGGACAGAGTGGCCTCATGTCCCTGAGCTGTATCAACTCAAAGGGAGCACTTACCGGATCGCCCTTTTCCTGCAACACGCACACCGCCGGCTGCCTCAAACCCTCGCGAGCCGAGAAGAGGCCCCGTCCCGACAAACTACCAGATGAACCTATCGCCCGTCTCAGCTCACTCCACTTCCTTGTCCCCCTCGGCTTCCTCAGGGCCGAGTCTCCGGCCCCAGCCCCCCCCCCCAAGCACCTACTGGTTCCAGATGGGGGGTGGGGTCCATCTCCTTGTAGAAGTGGCAGGTGTTTGGCTCAGCACCAGATCAACCGTTTGCCTCCCTTGACTTCTAGACCAGCTGCTGCAGCACCTTTAAGTTCCCACGGCACTGACGCACGTAGTCCTTATCACATAAGCCCTGAGAAATCTGCCCTCCCCTACCCATGGTCCCCTGAGTGCAGCACAGCTGGGACCACACAGCCTCTGTGTAACGTGTGCGGAGGGCTGCGCAGAATTTCTCCATGCTTGGCCAATCACAACTTCAACTGCGACTTCAACAAAACTTCAAACCACAGTCTAGATCTTGTCCCGGAGAATGTCTGCACGGTCTGGGTATTTACACGTTCGTAGAGACTCTAAATTCAAAGCAAGTAATAGGGATGACTTTCGGACTGCTAAGCTTGAAACTGTAGCCGCCAGAGCCAAACCCGCCGTGGCGTCACACCCCGTTACAAAATGTATGTTAAATATCATAAAAAGCTACGGATTGGCGCTCAACACAGGTCTCTCCGGAGCACAGAAAGGACAGCCTTGGGTAATAAGGGAGGGGCTTATGGGCCCCTCCTTTTGCAAATCAATTGATGAAAATCTCTCCATGCACATAGGAGAATCGTGTGATGCGCACAGGAAGTAGCAGAGGGAACTTCCTGCTTTTGCTTCTGCTTGCGACTGCATCCTGAGATTTTGTTCCTCTGTCTGTGTGATGCTGTAATTATCAACCCCCCTAGGTCACGCAGGGCCCTGGGGAATTTGAGGTGCTCCTTTCATTTAGAAAGAAATGCTCTGGCGGCAGAGGAAATGGATGATGAAATTATTGTACTGGAGTGTTTACCTGGCATTGCTCGGGTCCTAACTCTGGGTATGTCTACACTAGCTCGTTAGGGGGGCTGGACACATGACCTACGAGGAGAGACTGAGGGATTGGGGTTTGTTCAGTCTGCAGAAGAGCAGAGTGAGGGGGGATTTGAGAGCAGCCTTCAACTCCCTGCAGGGGGGTCCAAAGAGGCTGGCGAGAGGCTGTTCTCAGTGGGGGCAGGTGGTAGAACAAGGAGCAATGGGCTCAAGTTACAACAGGGGAGATCTGGGTGGGATATTAGGAAAAACTCCCAAGGCGGGTGGTGAAGCGCTGGGCTGGGTTTCCTAGGGAGGGGGTGGAGTCTCCGTCCCTAGAGGTGTGTAAGTCCCGGGTTGACCAAGCCCTGGCTGGGATGGTTGAGTCGGGGCTGGTCCTGCTTTGGGCTGGGGGCCCTACTCCAGAGGTCTCTGCCAGCCCTGGGATTGTGGATCCTAACTCCCAAATCGAAGCCACCCAACCTGCTCCCTTTGACAACTCCAGACAAGTTTTGGTCCCTGTAACAGGGCACTTGCCCTGCACTGGCCCTTTAAGGGCAAAGCCCAGGCCTGCCGGAGGACAGGATTAAGGCCCAGCTGGGGGCCATATAAAGAAGGGCTCCTGGCAGGAGGGGTGGGGCTGCTGCTCTGGAGTGAGATGGGGAGGGAGCGGGCTGCCAGGGAAGCAGGAGGTTCCTGGAGGCAGGGCGCACTTGCCCTGCACTGGCCCTTTAAGGGCAAAGCCCAGGCCTGCCGGAGGACAGGATTAAGGCCCAGCTGGGGGCCATATAAAGAATGGCTCCTGGGGCCAGGGATGAGTGGCCATTGCAGATGGCAGCTTGCCCTGAGGCAGGGGCTAGAGAGAGACTGGCAGTGGGTCCCTGAGGCAAGGCAGGGGGTAGGGGAACTGGGTGTTCCCTGGGAGGAGAACAGGGAGTCCCGGGGAGGGGTGGCCCCTGGTGTGCAGGCAGGATAAACACCCACCCCCAGACAGGGGGTGCGGACCCTGGCGTGGGCCCTGCCAGAGGCCTGTGTCCAGAAGAGGATGCTGAGGTTGAAGAGGAACACGGGGAGACTCCGGCGAGAGGGAGGCGTCCGGCGAGTCAACCAGCTAATTCCCAGAGCAGCCAGCTGGAGGCGCCGTGGGGGTGAGTCTGCCCCGGGACAGGCCCCAACAGAAATAATGAAAAACATGCATCTGTCTCTCCCTCTCCTGGAGTCCTTCCCCACCTGTGTCTCTCCTCACTCTGACCCGTGGTTAATTACTGTCGCCATCACACGTGGAAGCCTGATTTCCAATATGAATTGAGTTAGCTTCAACTTCCAGTCATCGGGTGGTGTTGGAGAGTTCTCTGCTAGACCGAAAGGCCCTCGCTCGATGTTTGTTCCCTAGGTATATGCTTACAGGGTGTGTTCAAATCCCTCTCTACTTGTTTAGCAATACAGCTGGAGCTGTGCAACTATCCCTCACTAGGACCGGTTTTCTAATCTGGGACTCATGCCTACAGCAGCTGGACAGATTTCACAGAGTTGTGTGCACCACGACACCTGGCTTGTGGGCCTTATTGTGAAAACTGCTTAATTAGGGGTAGAGAAGAGAGAAATGAGGTTGATGGGCAGACTGAGGCCTGGTGTGCTCCACAGACATCTCTCTAGATATATCCTGGAGATTATGTGCATGTTTCTGGCTGTGAGTCTGTTTCTCTGTCGGTGAGTTCATTTGTTCAAGAACTCCTGAGTGGTAAGAGCTAGGGATGGGATGCGTCCAGTTTGGGATGCAGTTTCCTCTTCTCCTAACACACATCAAGGGCAGAGTTTGGTGGTAGCAGGAAAATGGGAAGTGCCTGGAATGGGGTTGTTTCCTGTCACATGGAAGGGGAGGGGGCCGGTCGGAGAACAGTTATACCCCAGAGTGACCACTGGGGGGCGGCTTCAGCAGGTAGAAAGTGGCCAGCCTGGTTCCAGCCCCCTTGTTAAGTATTCAGTGACCAACCTGCTGCCCAGCCCCAATCACACAACCAGACGGTCACTGCTTTGCAAGGAGCGGGTTTAATGCGGGTTAGAGAGGGGGAGAGTATTTCAGAAAATGAAGCGAACCTCAACAAACACCAGCTGATTCCAATGAAGGGGAAGATTTTCCAATATTAGACCAAGTGCAGGAGGGCAGAAAAGTAAAATGGGCAGCGGAGGGTGGGGATGGGGAGTGTGCAGAAGTGGGTGAGAGGCTGGGAGCTGTGGTCAGTGGGAGGCAGAGAGGGGTGGGCAGAAGCAGCCGGGGTGCCTGGGTTCCCTCTACACCCAGGCAGGCCCTAGACCTCCTTGAGGAGGTAGACAGGGACCCCGTTCCAGCAGCCCACGGTAACTTTCTGAGCCTTTGCCGTGCCGAGGTAGGAGATGGACCACGGGCCGGGCTGGAAGACGCACTGCGTGACGTTGAAGGTGGCGGTGCTCACGCGCAGGCCCCCTTTCTTGGGCGTCCCGCCGGCCGTGCAGACGCTGTTGATCGTCGAGACGGGCGCGTGGATGAAGGTGTTGACCATGTTGAGGTAGATTCCCCGGTTCTGCATCATCAGGTTGCAATAGGTGCTGGGATCCGGCGCTGACGTTTTCGGGTAGTTCACGTGGTTCTTATTGAACAGGAAGTTCAGCTCGTACCACAGCTGCCCACTGGCCAGGGCAAGGCAGGCTGCCAGCAGGAGCAGGAGCACCGGGCGGGGGCCACATGGAGCCATGGTGGAGTCTGGATCGACCTGCAGAGGGACGGTCGGACGGATGGAGACAGTGCAGGAGGGGGAGCTGCCTTCTCCTTGGAACCACCTGGGCCCAAACCGGTTCCCATCATCCCCTCCCAGCCGGTTCTGCTGCCCTCAAGCCCCCTCCTCTCACTCTTGTCCTACTGGCCAGGGGCCGGGCAGACCCCAACCCAGGTCATCCTCCCTCCTCCAACCTCAGAGCCAGTTAGAACCCGGGCGTCCGGTCGCCCTCTGACCCACCTGGGCCCCCCCGCTCCGAGGTGCTACCCAGACCCCAAGCCAGATCAGCCCTGCCCAACTCCCAGAGGCAGTAATAGAACCCAGGCGTCCGGTCGCCCTCTGACCCACCTGGGCCCCCCCGCTCCGAGGTGCTACCCAGACCCCAAGCCAGATCAGCCCTGCCCAACTCCCAGAGGCAGTCCAGGCTCCAAGCTCTAACCACTAGCTCACGCTGCCCGCCAGCGAACAAACCCTGCCGTCTGCACCCTTGTGGGCTGCTGGTCTTTCCTCTCCCGCCGCTCACCTGAGTCCTTAGAGTGAGAGTCTAGCCTCTGGGGAGCTGCACCTCCGCTTGGTCCTCCTGCCCATCTTGGAGCAGGTTATATAGAGCCTGGCCGGAGCCAGGGTGGAGGAGAGGGAGGGGAAATGCAGCGAGGAGCTGGGTCACCGCAATCCCCGTGGCAGGTGCCAATTAAAAGCCAAAGCCCAGCAAGCAGGACTCCGGCTGGGGGAGAAACCGCACGTGTCCAGCTGGGGATCTGGGCGCTCCGGCAGCGCCTCTGGGTGTGTCCGCCCGGCGAGGGGAGGGGTGGGTGGCATTGATTAGTCACTGCAGTATGACAGCTGGCGGGACGGACCTGGTCCTGGGGGAGGATTATCGCTGGGGCGATCTCGGCTGGGGAAATGGAGGAAGACGATGCGCTGGAGGGGGGCCCACCAGCTGTTACTACCGTGCCAAAGGAGAGTCGTAAATGCTTCTGAACTAGTTACGGTCCCAATTCCGCCCGGGGGGCGTCCTTCCCTTCAGAGCCATCGCAGGGCTGGGCAGAAGGGCTCCCGAGTTCTCCCCCCTGCTCCGGGCGGGAGTG